AGGCACAGCTAAACACTGCACTGAACTCATGGAATCCAGTGACAGGAAGGGAGAACTGATGGGCAAAGGGGTTAAGACTGGGCTGGTTTAACCCATAGAAACAGTTGACCTGAACAAGAGCGAGCTCTTGGTCCCCAGGCTGATGGCTGGGTGGACAGCATGGGACTGATCCATACCCCCTGGATGTGGGTGTCAGTGAGGAGGCCTAGGCAATCTATGGGGCCTTGGGTAGTATTTATCCCTGGCATGCAAATTGACTTTGGCTGCCCATCCCACAATGACGGATCCTCTCTCAGCCTGGATTCTTGAGGGAGGGCGTAGGCCCTGCCCTGGATGAAATGATAGACTCTGGAGATCCTCCATGGAGGGCCTCACCCTCCCTGGGGATCAGAGTGGGGATTGGTTGTGGGACTTGGGGGCCTGCTGGGTAGGGTGGGGAAAGAGGGGAGGGAGAAGAACTTGGGATGGACATATGAAACTAGCTTGTTTCTAACTTAAATAAAAAAGGAATAAAGGATAAAATATACTTGGAGAGTATTGAGTGGGGGCATTTGAGGAACTGAGAAAATTCGAGCCTACAGTTAGCTGGAAAAGATAGGAATTAGAGAACTCTCAGGAAGCCTGCATATGTACGATCCTTTCTTGCTTCATTAGAAATCTTCATTCTGTTCTCAGAAACAGGACCATGCAAAAGTCTAAGCAAAGGTTTTTAGGAGTCTGCCATCTGTTGGTAGTGATTGAAACAGAATCAGTGGGAATTTGAATAGTGATCCACTATCAGGTACTAAATATTTCCCCTTTATATGTGAATTTTTGCAACACAGAAGAGTCAAAATATATTGATTGAGTACAAAATTTGAGAAAATACCCAAGAAGATGATGATGGGAATCAAAGAAATGCGAAGGAATGTATGCCCCTCCTTTTCATCTCAAACATCCTTAGCCATCAGGGAAATGCAACTCAAAATAACTTTGAGATACCATCTTACTCCTGTCAGAATGGCTAAAATCAAAAACACCGAAGACAATTTATGCTGGAGAGGATGTGGAGAGAGGGGAACACTCCTCACTCCACTGCTGGTGGGAGTGCCAACTCATACAGCCACTTTGGAAAGCAGTATGGAGATTCCTCAGGAAAATGGGAATCAATATACCACAAGACCCAGCAATTCCACTCTTAGGAATATATCCAAAAGAGGCAAATTCATACAACAAGGACATCTGCTCCACTATGTTCATAGCAGCATTATTTGTAATAGCCAGAACCTGGAAGCAACCTAGATGCCCCTCAACTGAAGAGTAGATAGAGAAAATGTGGCACATTTACACAATGGAGTATTCCTCAGCAGAAAAAAATGATGGAATCTTGAAATTCACAGAGAAATGGATAACACTGGAAGAAACCATCCTGAGTGAAGTAACCGAGTCACAAAAAGACAAACATGGTATGTACTCACTCATATATGGATTTTAGACATGGATCAGGATAGTGCCAGTCTGCACTTCCACTGACAGAGAGTCTGGGAAACAGGAAAGAACCTAAGAGATATGCATGGTACCCAAGAGAAGAGAAATGAGGCAAGATCCTGTGAACAGATGGGGAACATGGCAAGGGGTGGGGGGAGTGGGAGCTGGGAAGAAGAGGGGGAGAAGAGGAAGACAGAGTAGGTCATGGGGAACAGGAAGGTTGAGGGGGGGGTAAAATAGGGGGAAGAGGGAATCATAGGTTGGAAGACAGATCAGGCACCAGTGTGACCTCTAGTGATCTAAACGGATGACACCAATTGGCAAGCTAAGCAATAGTGGAGAGACCACCTCGAATGCCTATTCATGATAATGAACTTGATATATATAACCATCCTGGAGCCTTCATCCAGTGACTGATGGAAGCAGAGGTAAACACCCACAGTTAAACACTGAACTGAACCCAAGGAACCCAGTGATAGAGAAGAGCAATGAGCAAATTGGCAAAGAATGGGCTGGCAAAACCAGCAGAGACAGATGATCTGAACAGGGGAGAGCTCTTGGACCTCAGACCGACAGCTGGGAGGCCAGCATGGGACTGATTCAGACCTCCTGAATGTGAGAGTCAATGAGGAGGCCTGGGCAACCTATGGGGTCCTGAGCAGTGGATCAGTGTTTATCCCTGGAATACAAACAGGCATCATGTGTCCATAATACAAAGGGGGATGCTCTCTCAGCCTGGACTCTTAGGGGAGTGCTTGGACCCTACCCTGAGTGAAATGACAGACTTTAGATATCCCCTATGTGGAAGGAAATGGCAATAGGGTGGGAGGCTGTGGGGGATTGTGGGGGGGGCGAGGGAGGAGGGGGAGGGAGAGGGAACTGGGATTGACATGTAAAACAAGCTATTTAAAACTAAAATAATAATAAAAAATTATCTTCAAATAAACTCCCTTTGTTGAAAAAATAGATATAAAATCAGAGAGAATGAAAATTTGCTGTCACCCTACTATTTTAAATAGATGATCAAGTAAAGTTATTCTACAAGAATCTATCTGTCCTGGTGTGACATGAGGAGCACTAGACCATAGGGAGAAGCAATGTACACCACAAACACATACACATAAGGACATACAAGGTTGCACAGTCATGCTACTTCTCATAAATTCTATTTCTACTCTGATGTGGGCCTTTGACGATAAGCCCAGATACCTGATTTACAAGGCATGAAAGCTTCTTCCATTCTTCATGGAATGTAGGGAATATAGTGAAACTGACAAGACTATAAGGTGCTCAGTGATCCACTGTGAGGAGCAGCAGAAGGTTTTCATCATGCAGCCTGCTGTGACAGATGCATGGATACATGGTTGCTCACAGCCCTGAGATACCAGTATGGGTTTTAATTTTCTAGTCCATGATGTGGACCTGGGGGTGATCCTCTATGCCTGGCCCCTGATTGGGTACAAGTTACATATGGTTGCATCATTACCTTGCTATTCTCCAGGGATAGAAGTGTTTGCTGAAGGAGACACAAGAGAGTTCATCCTTGGAGGAATTGTGATAATAAGTGTGAGGCAGCTAACAGGCAATGAAAAAGGTTATCACCTATCAGAGTTTCTTGTGTTATGAAGAAATGTAAACAGAAAGATTAATACCATTTTCCCCCATATGTGAAAACTGGAAGAAAAAGACATCCTGAAAAGCAAAGACAGTCTACTATGGTAGAGAGCAGGATAAAAAGAGGTAGACGTGGAGACAATAAAAGAGGGAAACAGAATGGGTTGACTTGATCAAAGTGCTATGTGTGTGTAGGACAAAGTCACAATGAAACTCTTTACTTTGTACATTGATGCGATTCAATGTTTTTAATAAAAATAAATGTTACAGCAATCTGTTCATAGAAGTGAAGTTAACGGCATTTGTCTTGAACAGATGCAGCTTCACAAGGATTAAATTTCAAAATGCATTATTTTAAATGGACGTAGAAAGCAACACATTTGAGTGAAGGGCAGAGATGTATCATTTTTTCATTTTCAAGCACATGACAGTTGATTAATATATATCCCTGCATGTGTGAACCAATTATAATTGCGTAGACTTCCTGAGACGCAGGCAGCGACTCCTCAGCTCACATTCAAAGAGGCCAAACTGCGGGACCCACAGTGTATGCGTAATCACAGCACTGCCTGGAATGCTTTGCAAAGTCTCTCACTACTGTTTTGCAGGGATTTACCTTCCCAGGACCCAGAGATCTCCAATAGGGTTTTATCCACCTATTTAATCAGTATTTGCCTGTTATGGTCTTTTTATAGAAAACTATTCTTGTTTCTATATGTGAACAGGCTCAGATGCTTGAAGGAAAAAAAGGTACATGCTTGACTACCTTCACACTAACACCACTAAAATGGAAAGAGAATGGACAGAACAAAGGCTACAAAGAGAAGCCCAGACTTATAGGGAGGCTGACTAACAAGGGATTGCAGTTAAATGGAAAATTTGCTTCTGATTGCAGGGTAAGGTGCTGAGGCTGGCAATAAGAAAATACTGGGTTTTTCAAATGGATAGGAGAAGGAATTATGACTAGTTCTGTCATAAACATGAAAATGAAGAATTAAACATACTTGTCATGATTTGAACATATGAACTATATACATGTATGGAAACAATACATGGTACCCGGTAACTATGCACATTTGGTGTCAATTAAAACTAAAAATAATAAGAGGAAATTAATTAAAACAAAACATAGTTATACTTTAAATTAAAGTTATTCAAAATATAAACTCTAGCTAAATTATGAAATTAAGTACAAATAACACCTTGAAATCAATCAGTCCCAAGATACATTAGCATCTTTAAGAAAGGAGAAAAAAGTCTTTGCTACTTAAGGGCTTTAACATGTCATAAAAAATGGAAACAATGAGGAAATGAAATCACAATTGTGGAAAATGGTTCTATATGGCAAACAAAAATGTGTGGTGCCTGTGCCACGAGCTAGCCTAATGTATCAGGCAAAACTCTGGATATTTAAATAAAAGACAAGGCATCAGGCCGTTTGTGCTCAGAGAATGTGTGTGTGTGTGTCTTTATTGCAAGGAGAGAGCAGCCTTATATACAGACTTACAGCACAGTGGAAAAACCCCAGGTATAACAGCTCATGTTTTCATAATTAGAGATTGATGCCAATGGGGCAATGCTGGGGCTGTAAGCAAGGGCTAGAAAACAGGATGCACCTGTGGTTATTGGCTGACAAGCAGCTCACTGAGACCCTGTGGGGGCTGGTGCCCAACAAAAAATGGGTGGATATGTCTCTGAAAAAAATTGCACAAGATTATCATGGTCAAAAAGACAAACAAAAAAGGAAAGATAGAAGGAAAGGAGAAAGGAAAGGGAGATTTAAAATTTAAAATTCCATGGTAAGGTGTGCTTGAAAACACAATGCCAAAAGTCACTAACAAACAGCATTCCCAGAGGAGAGGACACTTGTAGAGAGTGGGTACATCTCAGCTCACATTAGTGCAGCAGAAAAAAATTAATCACACAGAAAAAGTTGCTTTTGCAAGTATATTCCATAAAGCTCCTTTCATGTCCCGATTCCTCAGACTGTAGATAAAGGGATTCAGCATGGGTGTGACCATAGTGTACAGCACAGCCACAATGACATCCTTGTCATTAGTGTTGTTAGATGAGGGGACAAAATACAGCCCAATAATGGCACCATAATAGAGAGAAACCACAGAGAGGTGGGAGCCACATGTGGACAAGGCTTTGCAGATTCCCTTGATTGATGGAGTTCTCAGGATGGTGGCTCCAATGCGGCCATAAGAGACCAGGATGCATATGAATGGCACAGTAATGACTAGAGATCCCACAATGAGGATGACCAGCTCATTGATGGAAGTGTCTGAGCTGGACAGCTTAATTAAAGCAGAGAGATCACAGAAGAAGTGGTGGAGAGTGTTACCTCTGAAGAAAGAGAGACGAGCTAGAAGGACTGTGTGCACAAGGGCACCAGCGAAGGATAAGAACCAGGATGCAAAGACCAGTAAGATGCAGACGCTCTGACTCATGATTCTGGTATAGTGGAGGGGGTGGCAGATGGCCACATACCTGTCGTAGGCCATGGATGTCAGAAGGAAGCTGTCAAGATCTGCAAAAAATAGGAAAAAATACACCTGGGAGATGCACCCAGCATATGAGATGGACTGAGTGTGTGTCAGCATGTTCATGAGCATCTTTGGAGCTGTGACTGATGAGAAAGAGATGTCTGTGAAGGCCAAGTGGCTGAGGAAGAAGTACATGGGGGTGTGGAGGTGAGAGTCCAGCCTGATGAGCAGGATGATGAGCAGGTTCCCCAGGACCGTGGTCAGATATGTGACTAGGAACAGGGCAGAATACAAGCCTTGGTCCTCTGGCCGGATGGGGAGCCCCAGGAGGATGAACTCAGATATGCTGCTCTGGTTCCTTGTGTTCCTCATCTTTTCCTGAAGATAAAAAAGACATAGAAATGTAATAACAGCAAACATTATGGCCAAGGACTAATAAAAGCAACATCAACTTTGTGTGAAATTCTCAAACTTTTGAACACTAATGGAAGATTAGTGACTTAGAAACCAGTTCAACATATTTTGAGGAACTTTGAAATATAGCAATTACCAAATAAGAAAAGATTAGCTTTTATAAAGAATGGAATTCTGATTGCCAGGTGTTGGTGGCTCACGTGTTTAATCCCAGCACTTGGGAAGCAGAGGCAGGCGGATCTCTGTGAGTTCAAGGCCAGCCTGGTCTACAGAGCAAGTTCCAGGACAACGTCCAAAGCAATACAGAGAAACCCTGTCTCAAAAAAACAAAAACAAAACAAAACAAAAAAACCATAGAATGGAATTCTGAGCTAGGGAATGAAGGGAAAGGTCAGTTCAGTCATCAATAATAGCAAAATTAATAGCAAATCTAGCCAATGATGTTTGCTAGCTTCTTGACCCTCTTCAGAGTTCCAGAAGCATATTGGCTAAATCTCTGGGACTATATTGAAATCAAAAGAAACCAGTGGGCATCTATGAAGCTGTAATATGTTTTAGACACTTAAGGGCATAAATCTATATCAATAACATGAAATATCAGATGGCATGACTTCTACATACCCTTCACATCTTCCCCATTCCAACAACTCCATTGGTCTGCCACTCTTTCTAAAGAAGTTTTCATGAAACATGTATAAAAAGTCTGTGTCTCTTTTGGGTTTTCTTGTGTATTCTCTCAAAAAAACCCAATTTTGCCTTTTTAAGTTCATGGGATTTAACATCTCTAGCTACATCTTGAATCTGCCAGGAAAGCACTTGGTCCCTGTCTAATGTAACACACTGGTCTTAATCTGGATTTCTTTGCTAATGACTCTTAAGTGATAAGTTCTTTTGTTGTGTTTCTAACATTTCATTTATTATTGTTCCCCTCTTTATTAGAACTTTTCATGAGAACAATCAGAAACTAATAGTAAATAAAACACACTAGTCTGTATATGAAACACATAGCCATGTTTCATAAATAAAATCAATCTGAATGTCTTTGCATTTTAAAGCTCAAGTTTGAACTAATAATTTATGGAAGGAGGAAGTATTAAAGTTTGTGTTACTACTCCATTTCTGTCTTTGCTGAAATTACCTTCAAAGTGTTTAGTAAAGGCAAAAGGTATATAATCTGAAGAGGTCTTCAAAGTCTTCACATTGTCCAGTCCACTCTATAAATACTCTTATGTGATTTTGTTATTAGAAATTAATTATTCATTTAGTTTTGTCACCCATCACTGTGTTTTTATTGATCAACTTTTCATAATGAAACAATAATTATTAATTTTTGAACTTTGAGTTTTGTTATTTTTGGGATTTCCAGTATTACAACAAACATCATTATCCAATACCTTTTTTCAAAAGCAAGTATGATAAATTTCCAGAACTAGAATTAAGAGTCTGTATGTATTCATGATTTTGATAGACCACCAAACACAAGAAGTAGCAGTTGGTTAGAAAGGCTATTCCCATACATTCTATAAATGGGGTCATGATAGTTCAGTGTTTGCAGACGGCAGGAATCCGGCAATAGGGGAATAAAGGAAAGTCAAGATCATGATTAGTCTAGTAAAATCAATGGAGTTGGAATATTACTGAAAAGCAGATGTATGTAAGATCATATATGGTACAACAGAAAGTTTCAATTCTCTACCTAAAGCATTATTATGTGCAAGAAAAGTTTTGAGTAAAGAAGTGACTGAGAGCTTTAAACATTATACTGTTTAGTGAGTAGGAGTAGCAGAATGAGCTGAACAGGGAGCTGTTGCACAGCTGAGATACAAAATACTCATTGCATACACCTGAGTTTGTCAGTGGAGACAGATACAGGTACAGAGATTTAATATCAAATTTGAAAGAGAGCTATCAAGAGATGATGGAGATTAAAGACAAACAAAGAAACTATGCATCTCTCTTCTCCTGGATTAGGTACTGTATGAGATTGAGATAAATTTTTCTACATAGAGCTACTGTGTTATCCTATTCTCTCAAACTTTAGATAAATACTTAATTCATGGTAAATAACTGTACATGGGATTGTGGTGTGAAGAAGAGCCTAAAGATAGTAGTACACAATGCACATGCACACTAAAACACACATACACTCATACTACTGAGGACAAATTCTCCCCCTGCTCTGGCATGACCCTTTAGATGATAAACACAGATACCTTCAATTTCAAAGCATGAGAAAGCCCCTCCATTTCTCTCTAGAAGATATGTGAGACATTGTAATGAATAGGGCCTCTAAGGGAGAGAACGTCTATACTGGAAGCCAGAAGCCTCACTGGGTCAGAATAAAACAAGGTTAGATATGCCAATAAACACGTGCTTGCAGCTCTTGAGAATTTGGATGAATTGTAATTTTACAAAAGACAGAGAGGATCCCAGAGGGCACCACTGCCATCTTGAGTCTAAATTAAAGATAGGATATAATTGCTACATTTCCATTGCCTCCTTGGGGAAACAACTACTTGTTGAGGAAGTAAAGGAGAGTTTGTCATCCCTGGAGGAATAAAACTAATATCAACAAGGAAGCCTGTAAGAACTTTAGGACCATAAAACTTTTTAGCACCTTATTTATCTTGGGGAAATGAACAAAGCTGGTGGCTTCTTTGTGTTCTAGAGCTTTTCAGCTGTGCTGTTAATTCCCTAATACAACTAATCTTCAGTTTCTTCATGTGGGCACTTAGTGCTATAAACTTCCCCCGTAGCACTGCTTTCAAAGCGTCCCATGGGTTTGGGTATGCTGTGTCTTCATTCTCATTGAATTCTAAGAAGTCTCTAATTACTTTTTTATTTCTTATTTGACCCAGGAATTGTGCAGTTGTGCATTATTCAATTCCCTTGAGATTGTAGGGTTTCTGCAATTTGTGTTATTGTTGAATTCTAATTTTAACGCATGTTGATCTCATAAGGTACATGCAGTTATTCCAATTTTTGGAGCTGCTGAAGTTTGATATGTTGACAAGTATGTACTGTATTTTTGAGAAGGTTCCATGTGGTGGTGAGAAGAAGGTACATTCTTCTTTATGTGGATGAAATGTTCTATTAACTGTTAATCCCAGTTGGGTCATTACTTCTATTAGACCCTTTGCTTCTTTGTTGAGTTTCTGTCTGGTATTCCTGTCTAGTGGTGAGAGTGGTGTGTTGAAATCTCCCACTATAAGTGTGTGGGGCTTTATATGTGATTTAAGTTTTAGTAATGTTTCTTTTATGAATGTGGATGCCTTTGTATTTGGGGCATAGATGTTCAGGATAGACACTTCATCTTGGTGGATTTCGCCTGTGATGAGTATGTAATGACCTCCTTCATCTCTTTTGATTGATTTTACTTTAAAGTCTAGTTTGTTAGATATTAGGATTGTTACCCCTGCTTGTTTCTTGGGTCCATTTGATTGAAAAAATTTTCCCAACCTTTAACTCTCAGGTCATGTCTGTCTTTGAGGGTTTGTATGCAGCAGAAGGATGGGTTCTGTCTTCGAATCCATTCTGCTAGCCTGTGTCTTTTTATGGGTGAGTTAAGGCCATTAATGTTGAGGGACATTAATGACCATTGATTGCTCATTCTTCTTTGATTTGGAATGGTTGTTGGTGGTGGAATTATGTGTGGAGTTTCACCCCTTTGTTCTTTTGGCTGTTGGTAGAGAGGGATTCTCTAATGCCTATGTTTTTCTGGTTGTAGTTAACTTCCTTGGGTTGGAGTTTTCCTTCCAAAACTTTCTGTAGGGCTGGGTTAGTGGATAAGTATTGCTTGAATCTAGTTTTGTCATGGAATATCTTGTTTTCTCCATCTATAGTGATTGAGAGCTTTGCCGGGTATAGTAGTCTGGGCTGGCATCCATGGTCTCTTAGTGTAGGTAGAATATCTATCCAGGACCTTCTGGCTTTCAGAGTTTCCATGGAGAAGTCAGTTGTAATTCTGATAGGTTTGCCTTTATATGTTACTTGGCCTTTTTCCTTAGCTGCTCTTAATATTCTTTCTTTATTCTGTATATTTGGGGTCTTGATTATTATGTGGCAAGGGGACTTTTTTGTGATCCGCTCTATTTGGTGTTCTGTAAGCTTCTTGTACCTTCATTGGCATGTCTTTCTTAAGGTTGGGAAAGTTGTCTTCTATGATTTTGTTGAATATGTTTTCTGCTCCTTTGAGATGGTTTTCTTCTTCTTCTATACCTATTATTCTTAGGTTTGGTCTTTTCATGGTGTCCCATATTTCCTGGATGTTTTGTGTTAAGGATTTGTTGGAATTAAGATTTTATTTGGCTGATGAATCCATTTCTCCTAGTGTATCTTCAACACCTGAGATTCTCTCTTCCATTTGTTGGTATTGCTTGTATTCTGTTGGTAATGCTTGCATCGGTAATACCTGACCATTTGCCCAGCTTTTCTATTTCCAGCCTTTCTTCAGATTGTGTTTTTTTTATTGTCTCTATTTCAGTTTTCAACCCTTGCACTGTTTGCATTGTTTCTTGCAATTTTCAGTTTATCTTTTTATCCATTTGTTGCATTTTATGAATTTTTTGGTTTGTTTTTTCTTCCATTTCTTGCATTTTTTGGTTTGCTTTTTCTCCCAGTTCTTGTATTTTGTGCTTTGTTTCTTCTTCCATTTCTGCCTTTTTTGGTTTCTTTCTTCTTCCATTTTTTGCAGTTTTGTCTTTTCTTCCAGTTCTTGCATTTTTTTGCTTTGTTTCTTCTTCCATTTCCTGCCTTTTTTGGTTTGGTTTTTCTTACATTTCTGACATTTTTTATTTGTTTTTTCATCCATTTCTTTGAGGGATTTTCCTATAGCCTCTTTTAGAGCCTCTATCACTTTCATGAAGGTGGTTTTAAGGTTATTCTCTTCTGCTTCATTTGCATTGGAATGTTGGAGTCTTGCTGGTGTGGACTCTCTAGAATCTGGCGGTGTCATATTTGTTTTTCTGCTGCTGAGTGTGTTTTTGTATTGTCTCTTTCCCATCTCTTCTTCTAGTGGGTGCAGAAAGAGCCCCTTATTTCTCTGGTGGTTAGGGGACCAGAGTTCCCTTTTGGTGGGTGCTAGCAAGTCCAATAATCTGGTAGTTCTTCTATTCCTCATCCTCATTCTGGTCCCGTGGGTGGAGAAGAAGACCTGGAATCTGGGGTGCTTAGCCTCTCACCTGGTCCCCTGGTCCCTTTGCTGGATCTGCTGGTTTCCCGGTTTCGCTGGTGGGAGAGAAGACCTGGAATCAGGGGTGCCTGGCTCCTGCCGGGATTGGAAGCTCTGTGCAGTTCCCAGGTGATCCCCAGGCACTGGAACACAGGCCCAGATGCAGGGCCTGTTGTACCTGGTCCCGCTGGAACAGCTGGTCCCCATACTTTCCATCTTTACATCACTTTTTTATTACTCTATTTCTTTTACTTTTATTTTTTTCCTTTTTTTAGAAAGAGTTTCTCTGTGTAACTTTGGCTGCCCTTGAACTCACTCTGTATACCAGGTTGGCCTCTGCCTTGTGAGTGCTGGGATTAAAGGCATGTGCCACCAACTCAGCTAGCTAATTTCTTTCTTTCTTTCTTTCTTTCTTTCTTTCTTTCTTTCTGAAAAACACTTTATCCTGTTTCTTTCTCTCTCCCAAGCTTATGTATATTCATAACACACTATAAACCTTTTAGAGGTTTTTTTCTTCATCTGAACCTGTCTTTACTGTATATGTTTATCGTTTTCTGGCCACGAGCCTATTTTCTGCTAAACTACATTGCTAAAATTTAAAGCCACAGCTGTTTTACCTTATGTCTTTTCAAGATGGCAGGGGGCAGGGGTATGTTTACTGCCAGCACTGTGAGGGGTGCTCAACACCTTGGTTTATGCTGCCATCAAGCAGCATGCTGCCGGCTTGGAGTGTGGTCACTGCCACTGCTAGCTGCTCATACACACAATTCAGTTGTTATCAGGGCCTCTAAAAAGATCCTTGCAGTTTTCACTGATTATGCCAAGTCAGGACGACTCCCTTAAAGGAGCCACGCTAGTCTCTGCTTGTCTCTAGCAAAACAGAGCCCACCTGAGAAAAATGCTGCTACCAAGAAGCTGTGCTTCTCTCTGTTCTTTTGTTTCTAAAATCCCTTTTAAGCTTTTGTCATTCTACGTGGAAATTCATTCCACATGTTGCTGGTGCCATTTTGTAGTGTGAATATTTCTGGCCCCGCTAGGTCCTGCTGCCCTTCTCTGCCCCAAAGAAGCACATAGAAACTATATTAGTTATAAAGCTATTGGCCATTGGCTATGGTTTCTTATTTGGCTAGCTCAGTCTTAATTATTCATCCATTTTTCTAGTAATCCATGTATTTCCACATTGTCTTATCTTACCAGGGACCTCTTACTCCTCTAAGAGTGTCGACTGTTCAAAATCTCAGCAGTGAAGAGGAGAGAGCAATTTCCTTTTTGTGCCTGCTTATATTCTGACTTTGCCCAGCTATGTCTCTTCCTACCTGACCAATCAGCCATTCAGTGTTTTATTCATTAACAAATCAGAGAAATATACACAGAAGGACCTCCCCCATCACCTTCATCCATGTCTATCCATGTCTCCCTCACATGCCCAGATTCCTTCTCCTCCTTTCTCTCTGCCTGGAAGCTCTGCTTATGCCTCCTACTCCTTTCTCTCTCTCTGCCTGGAAGTTCTGCTTATGCCTCCTACTCCTTTCTCTCTCTCTGCCTGGAAGCTCTGCTTTCTCTCTCTCCACCTGGAAGCTCCACTTATGCCTCCTGCTCCTTTCTCTCTCCGCCTGGAAGCTCTGCTTATGCCTCTGACTGAGCTATTGGACATTCAGGTTTCTGTTACTCCAATTGCAGTGAAAAATTTTAATACAGTGTACAAATGTCCCACAAACTTTCCCAACTTTGTCTAAAGAAACAGAAAAGGTTTTAAGTCTAACATAGCTAAATTATGCACAATAAGAACAATTATCAGGTAAGCATTGCATTCACAATGTCCAGTCCATTTGTATTTGGGATATTGAGAGAAAATACTCTATTAATCTTATCTTGATAAATTTAAAGTTTTATACCTAAACCACTTTCTATCATAATCTATATTACCATCCTAAAATGATCTTTTTAGACCTCAAAACATTTTCTTAGGTAAATAATTTAAGATTTTATGTCTCTCCATCTTATATATCTTCTAATACCCCTAAACAATGACAAACATCCATAACTAGAGAATGATCAAAACCACCCACTTCACCTCTTGGGAATCTGGGTGTCATGTTCTGTAGACCACTTCCTGTTTGTCAGAAGGTGATGGCATCTTAGGGGTACTCTGAGAAAAGTGGGAAAATTGCCAAGTCCTGGGAAAGTTCACTTTTTTGGTTTAGTCCCCTTGTGATATAAGATTGCAGAGGTTATTCAAAGGCCTAAGTTGAATACTCTGTGAGACAAGCAGACCCAACATTTTTCTGGATGCATAATTTTGAAGAAACTGCAACAAAGGTATTCTTTTTTTCTTTTTTTTATTAATATTTTTTTTATTTTCCATTTTAAATTTAGATAAGAAACAAGGTTGCTTCACAAGTCAGTACGAGGTCCCTCTCCCTTTCCCTCCCCTCCTCCCGTGCCCTCCCCCCATCCCCCCCCCGTTATCCCCTCATTCCCCCAGGGAGGGTGAGGCCCTCCATGGGGGTGTCCATAGTCTGTCATTTCATATAGGGCAGGGCCTAGATCCTTCCCCAAGAGTTCAGGGTGAGAGTGCACCTCACATTGTTCCATGGGAGTCCAAAGTCCGTGTGTATACTTGGGATGAGTACTGATCTACTGCCCAAGGCTCAATAGATTACCTAGGCCTCCTCACTGACACCCAGATTCAGGGGGTCTTGATCAGTCCCATGCTGGATTCCAAGGCTGATGCCTGGGATTCAAGAGTTAACCTTTGTCTGGTCAGCTGTTTCTGGGGGTTAAACCAGCCCAGTCTTAATCCCTTTGATCATCAGTCCTCCCTCTCTGTTACTGGCTTTCTTGAGTTCAGCTCAGTACTTAACTGAGGGAGTCTGCCTCTTCTTCGATCAGCCACTAAATGAAGTTTCTGTTTCCCAGACTCTCTGGCCATAGGATTATAGGCTTGCACTCCCCAGAACTATGTCTGAAATCTATATATGAGAGAGTACATGCCATGTTTCTCTTTTTTGTGACTAGGTTACCACACTCAGGATGGTTTCTTCTAGTGTCATCCATTTGCCTGCGAATCTCAGGATTCCATTGTTTTTTTCTGCTGAATAGTACTCCATTGTGTAAATGTACCACATTTTCTCTATCCACTCTTTGGTTGAGGGACATCTAGGTTGCTTCCAAGTTCTGGCTATTACAAATAATGCTGCTATGAACATAGTGTAATAGACATCTTTGTTGTATGAATGGACATCTTTTGGATATATGCCTAAGAGTGGAGTTGCTGGGTCTTGTGGTAGGTTTATTCCCATTTTTCTGAGGAATCTCCATACTGATTTCCAAAGTGGCTGAACCAGTTGGCACTCCCACCAGCAATGGAGGAGTGTCCCCTTTCACCACATCCTCTCCAGCATAAATTGTCATTGGTGTTTTTGATTTTAGCCATTCTGACAGGAGTGAGATGGTATCTCAGAGTTGTTTTGATTTGCATTTCCTGGATGGCTAAGAATGTTGAGTACTTTCTCAAGTGCCTCTCAGCCATTTTAGATTCCTCTATTGAAAACTCTATTTAGTTCTGCAGCCCACTTTTTAATTGGGTCCTTTGATGTTTTGGAGACTTGCTTCTTGAGTTCTTTGTAAATTTTGGAGATCAAAATTAAGTGAATATTTTTCCCATTCTGTGGCCTTCCTTTTTGTCTTGCTGACTGTGTCCTTTGCCTTACAGAAGCTTCTCAGTTTCAGGAGGTCCCATTTATTAATTGTTGATCTCACTGTATATGCTACTGGTGTTATGTTCAGGAAGCTGACTCCTGTACCAATTCATTCAAGGGTACCACCCACTTTCTCTTCTAAGAGGTTCAGTGTGGCTGGATTTATGTTGAGGTCTTTGATCCATTTGGACTTAAGTTTTGTGCGTGGCGATAAACATGGATCGATCCGCATTCTTCTACATGCCAGTCTCCAGTTATGCCAGCACCATTTGTTGAAGATGCTTTCTTTACTCCATTGTATATTTTTAGCTTCTTTGTCAAAGATCAGATGTTCGTACGTGTGTGGGTTAATACCCGGATTTTCAATTTGATTCCATTGGTCTATCTGTCTATTTTTGTGCCAACACCATGCTGTTTTCAGGACTATAGCTTTATAATAGAGCTTGAGGTCAGGGATGGTGATGCCTCCGGACGTTGCCTTGTTGAACAGGGTTGTTTTGGCTATCCTGGGTCTTTTGTTTTTCCGTACAAAATTGATTATTGTTCCTTCAAGGTCTGTGAAGAATTGTGCTGTGATTTTAATGGGGATTGCATTGAATCTGTAGATTGCTTTTGGCAGGATTGCCATTTTTACTACATTGATCCTACCTATCCAAGAGCATGGGAGATCTTTCCATTTTCTGAGGGCTTCTTTAATTTCTTTCTTTAAAGATTCAAAATTCTTACGATACAGGTCATTCACTTGTTTGGTTAGCGTTACCCCAAGATATTTTATGTTGTTCATGGCAATTGTAAAGGGTGATGTTTCTCTGATTTCTCTTTCAGCCCTTTTATCATCTGTATATAGTAGGGCTACTGATTTTCTCGAGTTGATCTTGTAGCCTGCCACTTTGCTGAAGGTGTTAATCAGCTGTAAGAGTTCCCTGGTAGAGTTCTTTGGGTCATTGATGTAAACTATCATATCGTCTGCAAACAGTGAAAGTTTGACCTCTTCCTTCCCAATTTGTATCCCCTTGATCCCCCTTTGTTGTTGTATGGCAATAGCTAGAACTTCAAGTACCATGTTGAAAAGGTATGGAGAGAGTGGACAGCCTTGTTTTGTTCCTGATTTTAGAGGAATTGCGCTGAGTTTCTGTCCATTTAGTTTGATGTTGGCTGCTGGTTTACTGTATATAGCTTTTATTATGTTTAAGTATGTCCCTGTTATCCCAGATCTCTCCAAGACCTTTATCAGGAAGGGGTGTTGGATTTTGTCAAAGGCTTTTTCAGCATCTAGTGAGATGATCATGTGATTTTTGTTTTTCAGCTTGTTTATATGGTGGATTACGTTGATGGATTTTCGTATGTTGAACCATCCCTGCATCCCTGGGATGAAACCTACTTGATCATGGTGAATGATTGTTTTGATGTGTTCTTGGATCCGATTTGCCAGTATTTTATTGAGTATTTTTGCATCAATGTTCATGAGGGATATTGGTCTGAAGTTCTCTTTCTTAGTTGTATCTTTGTGTGGCTTGGGGATCAAGGTTATTGAAGCCTCATAGAAAGAGTTTGGCAAAGACCCTTCTGCTTCTATTGTGTGGAACACTTTGAGAAGAATTGGTATAAGCTGTTCTTTGAATTTCTGGTAGAATTCTGCACTGAGGCCATCTGGACCTGGGCTTTTTTTGGTTGGGAGACTTTTGATGACAGCTTCTATTTCCATAGGGGTTATAGGTCTATTTAAATTGCTCATCTGTTCTTGATTTAGTTTTGGCAATTGATAGCTGTCCAGGAAGTCATCCATTTCCTTTAAATTTTCGAATTTTGTGGAGTACAGGTTTTCAAAGTATGACCTAATGATTCTCTGGATTTCCTCAGAGTCTGTTGTTATGTCCCCTTTTTCATTTCTGATTTTGTTAATTTGCGTGTTCACTCTCTGCTGTTTGGTAAGTTTGGACAAAGGTTTGTCTATCTTGTTGATTTTCTCAAAGAACCAACTCTTCGTTGCATTGATTCTTTGTATTGTTTTCCTGGTTTCTACTTTATTGATTTCAGCCCTCAATTTGATTATTTCCTGGCGTCTACTCCTCCTGGTGGAGTGTGCTTCTTTGTATTCTAGAGCTTTCAGCTGTGATGCTAATTCTCTGGTATAACTGTTCTCCTGTTTCTTCATGTGAGCACTTAGTGCTATGAACTTCCCCCGTAGCACTGCTTTCAAAGTGTCCCATAGGTTTGGGGATGTTGTGTCTTCATTCTCATTGAATTCGAGGAAGTCTTTAATTTCTTTTTCTTTTCCTCTTTGACCCAGGGATGGTGCAGTTGAGCATTATTCAATTTCCATGAGTTTGTAGGTTTTCTGCAATTTGGGTTGTTGTTGAATTCTAATTTTAAAGCATGGTGGTCTGATAAGATGCATGGAGTTATTCCAATTTTTTTGTAGCTGCTGAGGTTTGATATGTTGCCAAGTATGTGGTCGATTTTTGAGAAGGTTCCATGTGGTGGTGAGAAGAAGGTATATTCTTTTTTATGTTGATGAAATGTTCTATAGATATCTGTTAATCCCAGTTGGGTCATTACTTCTATTAGACCCTTTGCTTCTTTGTTGAGTTTCTGTCTGGTATTCCTGTCTAGTGGTGAGAATGGTGTATTGAAATCTCCCACTATAACTGTGTGGCGCTTTAGATGAGATTTAAGTTCTAATAATGTTTCTTTAACGAATGTGGATGCCTTTGTATTTGGGGCATAGATGTTCAGAATAGACACTTCATCTTGGTGGGTTTCACCTGTGATGAGTATGTAATGACCTCCTTCATCTCTTTTGATTGATTTTATTTTAAAGTCTAGTTTGTTAGATATTAGGATTGCTACCCCTGCTTGTTTCTTGGGTCCATTTGATTGAAAAAATTTTTCCCAACCTTTAACTCTCAGGTAATGTCTGTCTTTAAGGGTGAGGTGTGTTTCTTGTATGCAGCAGAAGGAAGGGTTCTGTCTTTGAATCCATTCTGTTAGTCTGTGTCTTTTTATGGGTGAGTTAAGGCCATTAATATTGAGGGATATTAATGACTATTGATTGCTCATCCTTCTTCGATTTGCAATGGTTGTTGTTGGTGGAATTATGTGTGGAATTTCACCCCTTTGTTCTTTTGGCTGTTGGTAGAGAGGGATTCTCTAATGCCTATGTTTTTCTGGTTGTAGTTAGGTTCCTTGGGTTGGAGTTTTCCTTCCAAAATTTTCTGTAGGGCTGGGTTAGTGGAAACATATTGCTTGAATCTAGTTTTGTCATGGAACATCTTGTTTTCTCCATCTATAGTGATTGAGAGCTTTGCCGGGTATAGTAGTCTGGGCTGGCATCCATGGTCTCTTAGTGTAGGTAGAATATCTATCCAGGAACTTCTGGCTTTCAGAGTTTCCATGGAGAAATCAGGTGTAATTCTGATAGGTCTGCCTTTATATGTTACTTGACCTTTTTCCTTAGCTGCTCTTAATATTCTTTCTTTATTCTTTATGTTTGGGGTCTTGATTATTATGTGGCGAGGGGAATTTTTTTGTGGTCCACTCTATTTGGTGTTCTGTAGGCTTCTTGTACCTTCATTGGCATGTCTTTCTTAAGGTTGGGAAAGTTGTCTTCTATGATTTTGTTGAATATGCCTTCTGCCCCTTTGAGGTGGATTTCTTCTCCTTCTTCTATACCTATTATTCTTAGGTTTGGTCTTTTCATGGTGTCCCATATTTCCTGGATGTTTTGTGTTAAGGATTTATTGGACTTAAGGTTTTCTTTGGTTGATAAATCCATTTCTCCTAGTGTATCTTCAACACTTGAGATTCTCTCTTCCATCTCTTCTATTCTGTTGGTAATGCTTGTATCGGTAGTACCTGACTGTTTGCCCAGCTTTTCTATTTTCTGCCTTTCTTCAGATTGTGTTTTTTAATGTCTCTATTTCAGTTTTCAACCCTTGCAGTGTTTGCATTGCTTCTTGAAATTTTCTGTTTATCTGTTCGTCCATTTGTTGCCTTTTATGAATTTTTTGGTTTGTTCTTTCTTCCATTTCTTGCATTTTTTGGTTTGCTTTTTGTTCCATTTCTCGCATTTTGTGCTTTGTTTCTTCTTCCATTTCTTTCCTTTTTTGGTTTGTTTCTTCTTCCATTTCTTTCATTTTTTGCTTTGTTTTTTCTACCATTTCTTGCATTTTTTTGCTTTGTTTCTTCTTCCATTTCCTGCCTTTTTTGGTATGTTTCTTCTTCCAATTCTTGCATTTTTTGGTTTGTTTTTTCTTCCATTTCTTGCATTTTTTGCTTCATTTCTTCTTCCATTTCCTGCCTTTTTTGGTTTGTTTTTTCTTCCAATTCTTGCATTTTTTGGTTCGTTTTTTCTTCCATTTCTTGCATTTTTGGTTTGTTTTGTCTTCCATTTCTTTGAGGGATTTTCCTATATCCTCTTTTAAGGCCTCTATCATTTTCATGAAACTGCTTTTAAGGTCGTTCTCTTCTGCTTCGTTCGCATTGGAATGTTGGAGTCTTGCTGGTGTGGAGTCTCTAGAATCTGTCGGTGTCATATTTGTTTTTCTGTTGCTGAGTGTGTTTTTGTATTGTCTCTTTCCCATCTCTTCTTCTAGTGGGTGCAGAAAGAGCCCGTTACTGGTCTGAGGACCAGAGTTCCCCTTTGGTGGGTGCTAGCAAGTCCAATAATCTGGTGGTTCTTCTATTCCTTGTCCAAATGCTTTTCCTGTGGGTGGAGAAGAACAGGAATCTGGGGCGCTTAGCCTCCCACCTGGTCCCCTGGACCCTATGCTGGGTCCTGTTGTACCTGATCTGGAACAGCTACTCCCCTGGTCTCCCTGGCTCCTCTGATTTCCTGGTCTCGTTGGTGGGGAAAAAGACCTGGAGTCTGGGGTGCTTGGCTCCTGTCGGGATTGGAAGCTCTGTGCAGTTCCCTGGCAATCCGCAGGCACTGGAGCACAGGCTTGGAAGCCGGCCTGTTTATCTGATGCTGCTTCAGGAATAGCTGCTTCCCTGGACTCCCTGCCTCCTCTGGCTTCCTGGTCTCGTTGGTGGGAGAGAAGATTTGGAGTCTGGGGTGCTTGGCTCCTGCCGGGATTGGGAGCCCTGTGCAGTTCCCAGGCAATCTGCAGGTACTGGAACACAGGCCGGGAAGCCGGCCTGTTTACCTGATGCTGCTGCAGGAACCCTAATTAAGCTTTTTTAAAAGATTTTTTAATTTAAATTAGAAACAATCTTGCTTCACAAGTCAATCCCAGCTCCCTCTACGTCCCCTCCTCCACTACCTCCCATCCATCCTCCCAACCCCCTACCTAATTCCCACTCTTTTCCCCAGGGAGGGTGAGGCTGTTATTTCTTTCAGGGCAGGGCCTAGACTCTCCCTCGAGAGGCCAAGCTGAGAGAACCTTCCTCATTGGGGGACGGGCACCCAAAGTTCATTTGTATGCCAGGAATAAATACTGATCTACTCCCCAAGGCCCCAGTGATTGCCTAGGCCTCCTCACTGACACCCACATTCAGGGGGTCTGGATCAGTCCCATGCTGGCGTCACAGCCATCAGTCTGGAGTCCAAAAGCTTCACCTTATTCAGGTCAACTGTTTCTGTGGATTAAACCAGCTCTGTCTTGACCCCTTTGCTCATCAGTTCTTTCTCTCTGTCACTGAGTTCCAGAAGTTCAGTTCAGTTCAGTGTTGAGCTGTGGGTGTCTGCCTCTGCTTACATAAGACTGGCCCTAGCAACAATCAGTTATGGACCAGAG